ACAAGCCATGGATAACAACTGGTATCATTACGTCAATTGATAAAAGAAATAAACTTTATAAGAAATACCTTAAATAAAAAAAAATCGGATAAATACAAGTATATAATATATAGAAGTAAGTTGACGCATTTATTAAAAATTTCAAGGAAAACACATTATAATGATAAATTTAATTTCTATAAAAACAATATTCAAAAGACTTGGAAAACAATTAACTCTGTCTTAGGACGCAACACAAAAAAACATTTTCCATCTTTTTTTCAGATCAAAAATTACTGAACCTCACCTTATAGCAAATAAATTTAATGATTATTTTATAAACATTAGATCAAATCTCACAAAGGAAATTAACAAACCTACTAACCATCACTTTACGTCATATCTTAATCCACCTCTTAAAGACTCATTTTTTCTCACACCTCCATCTGAAGAGGGAATCACAAATATTATTAAAGTACTAAAAGACAATAAGAGCCCTGGTTGTGATGAAATATCTAACAAAGTCGTTAAATCCACTTTTAATTTAATTACGAAGCCCTTATGTTATATTTTCAACCAATGTTTTGCCAAAGGAATTTTTCCTGATAACTTGAAGGTTGCCAAGGTAGTTCCTATTTTAAAAAAAGATGATCCTCATTTATTTACTAATTATAAACCAATCTCCTTGTTACCATGTTTTTCAAAAATTCTGGAGCGCTTAATTTACAATAGATTATACACCTTCTTAACTAAACACAATATTCTTTATAATCGCCAATATGGTTTTAGAAAATTATACTCAGCAGATCTTGATCTTATTGATATTTACGACCAAATTACTAAAGCAATTAATAATAATGATTTTGATACCATTGACCATGAAATTCTATTGAGTAAACGTGAACGATGTGGTGTCAGAGGCCTTCCTCTTGATTTATTTAGAAATTATCTTGGCAACCGACAACACTTCACTACATTTATTTCTTTTAATTCTTATTTATCTAATATTACATGTGGTGTTCCACAAGGATCTATACTTGGGCCCTTGTTATTTTTAATATACGTTAATGATCTCTCAAACTGCTCTTCCCTATTAAACTTTGTACTTTTCGCAGATGACACTAACATTTTTTATTCACACCAAAATAAAAATGATCTCCTTACAATTATTAACACTGAATTAACTAAGGTATCTAATTGGCTTAAATTAAATAAGCTATCTCTTAATATTTCTAAAACTAATTTTATTATTTTTAAAAAATAAAATAAAAAGCAGAGATTCCTTTCTTATTAAAATTGATAACAACATAATTGAACAAGTAACTGAAACAAAATTCCTTGGCATTACATTAGATTTCAAATTATCTTGGCAATCCCATCACAACAGTATTACAAATATTATATCAAGAAACATCGGTGTTATGAATAAATTAAAACATTATTTTCCGCAGAACATTCTTTTATCCTTGTATAATACTTTAATCTTACCTTATATCAGTTATTGTAACACATCACGGGCTGCTAAAGTTGATAAATTTCTTCATCTATGTCCCTGGACAAGTCCTGAAACAACCCCTATTGACAATATTTTTAAATTACAAAAGCGAGCTCTCAGGATTTGTGCAGGGACAACTCGTATTTCCCATACTAAACCTTTATTTTACAAATTTAATTTTCTAAATGTATTTGATTTGCATAAATTACAAAACTATGTTTTTATGTATCGCTTTAGAAATGAAACATTACCCCCACATATTCATAATCTATTTCCAAAACAACAGGCTGATATACATGACCATAATACTAGATTTGCTAAAAGTACGGTAACGTTTTATTTGAAAAATATACATCCTCTTCTAGAAAAAAATCCATATTTTACACTAGTCTAAAATTATGGAATTCCTTGAAAACTTCCTATAAATCCTTACCTAATCTCAACTCTTTTAAATACAATCTTAAAAAGTCTCTGGTCTCGGAGTATGGCCGGTAAGTCTCCTGGTCGGTCTGCCTGTCTATCTGTCGGTCATTCTTATTTGTACTTAACGGACTGCCACCATATATATACGTTTGTTTGTATATGTATATGTGTGTATGTGTGTATATATATATATATATATATATATATATATATATATATGCTGTGTGTATGTATATATATATATATATATGTTTGTGTGTATGTATATGTATGTATATGCATATATGTATATATATATATATATTTATTTATTTTGTGTTTATATTTTTGGATTTCTATATATTTTTAACTGGTGGCCACGGCCTAAAGTTTTATTCTAAGCTTATTTTGGCCTCCTTCCACACACTTATTCTGTAATGTACTATTATTCTTAGTTGGTTTTACTATTAAGCTTTTGTTATGTATGTTAATATGTTCATGTGTGTGGAGAAATAAATTAAACAAACAAACAAACAATGTTGCATCTAGATATGAGCTATGAATTGATCCTTCCATACTTCTACTTCAACCTTCATGGCTTATTTTCTAATATTTTTTTGAGGCAAACCTGTGAGTGCTTTTTGCATTGTTTCGATGTACCTTATGTGATTGTTTTAGTTTGTTACTAATTAGAACGAAACAGATTAAAATGGTAGTTTGGAGATTCATCTTGTATTTAGATTTAATGGTGCAAGCTATATGATTAGTTGCTACAAACTGATAGCTGATATTAAAGTTAGTTCATGTAGTTTTTGCAAGAACCGTAAATACCTCAACCCGAATTCAATAGAAACTCTTGTTCATCCCTTTATTTCCTCGAAACTTAATTATTGTAATTCACTTTTATTTGGCCTCCTTTCTTATTCAAACGTTTACAACGAATCCAAAATTCTCCTGCTCGCGTATGCACCCTCACTCCCAGGCGTCACCATCGCCCCCCCCCCCATTCCGAAACATGCACTGGCTACCTATTCGGCAACGTAAAATTTTTTAAATCCATTTATTGTGTTTTAAGGCTCTTCGATTCCAACAATCCTCTTATCTCTCTAATATATATCTATGTCCAAAAACCACCGTCTCCACTCAGCTAATGAGAGTCTTCTCACTGTCCCAACCTTCAAATTAAAATCGTATGGCCAACGAACCTTTGCTTTTTGTGCCTCATTTCTGTGGAACGACTTACCACAACCTGTCAAAAACTCATCCTCCTTGGATTCATTTAAACTAAATTTAAAAACTCCTTTATTTCAATCCATCTTGTCTAATTTGTTTCCGCGATCTTATATCTACATTGTCTTTTTACGTTTATATTTATTAATCCACTACTTACGGTCCATGATACATGTCTGCTGTCGCGCTTTTGGTCATATATTTTATTACAACGTAGTCCACATTTTAATCGTATCTAAATGAGAAAGTATAAATATTTATTCGAAAATACTCGAGTATAAAAGTGTTATCTTGTAAGTAAATATTCACGGGAACGGCTAAAGATTACGATAAAGTAACATATAAATACCTTAAAGAACAAACAATATGCATTGAACACAATTTTCATTATCAATGTGTTTTTGTTTGACAAAGACGCCTTTATTTTTATCGACTCTACCAACAATAGTCATAGTCAAGTCCTATTACATGCTTACTTCCTAAATGTAAAAAAGTGAATTTCACTTTAATGTGTGCCTGCAGTGATTTTCTTTTCAGTTTCACTTATTCACTAGTGATAATTCACTTTAAATGAACAAATTTTACAGCGAAACAATAGTAAAATGTGTACTCTGCAACTTTACGCACGATTTCTTCACCATTTTACACTTAGAGAGTAGGCCTATATTTATTACGTCATTATTTTGAATAGAAAATTTGGTATTTATAAATATCAAATGAATGGGCGCCTTTCTGAGTAAATTTCAATGTAAAATACGAATAATATACTATATATTATAATATAGCATATATATATAATATAATATAATATAATATAATATAATATCAGTTCTATAGGAACATAAAATGATATACGAAGATATATATCTGTCTCTTATACACATCTAGATGTGTATAAGAGACAGGACCACAAGCAATCAAGACAAGACTAGACAAGAACGACTCGCTCGACACGAAAATTTTAGTTTATTGTTAGTTTATTTACAAA